AGGTGACACCGAGGTGCCACCAGGTGCCACCAGGTGCCACTGAGGTGCCACTCGGTGACACACCTGTGCCCGCGGAAGGCGTACACCGGCTCCACGTCCAGCGCCGCGCTCCTGAGGGGACAACGGTGACAAACGCGGGTGACAATCGGTGACACACGGTCGCCACCCCCGTGTCACGCGGTGTCACCCAGTGTCACCCGGCGTCACCCGGTGTCACCCGGTGTCACCCGGTGTCACCCACTTCTTGGGGCCCAGCGGCTTCTGCAGGTCCCAGAGCTTGAGGGTGGCGTCCTCGGAGGCCGTCACCAGCGCCGGGTGACAAGGGACAAAGGCCAGCGCCCGCACGGCGTCAAAGTGGCTGCGCAGCGTCAGCCGCGGGCTCCAGCTGCGCCGCGGCCGCCCGCACGGCACCTGGGGACACGGCGGTGGCACTTGGGGACACTTGGGGACACCGGGGAAATGGGGACATTGGGACACTTGGGGACATGGTGGCACTTGGGGACACTGAGGCAGGCGTGGCTCCAGCTGCGCCGCGGCGACGGCGGCCGCCCGCACGGCACCTGGGGACACGGCGGTGGCACTTGGGGACACTTGGGGACACTTGGGGACACTGGGGGAATGGGGACATGGTGGCACTTGGGGACACTTGGGGACACCAGGGGTATGGGGACATGGTGGCACTTGGGGACACTGAGGCAGGCGTGGCTCCAGCTGCGCCGCGGCGACGGCAGCCACCCGCACGGCACCTGGGGACACGGCGGTGGCACTTGGGGACACTTGGGGACACCGGGGGAATGGGGACATTGGGACACTTGGGGACATGGTGGCACTTGGGGACACTCAGGATGGGGTTGGTGGCACTTGGGTACACTCGGGGACACCGGGGGAATGGGGACATTGGGGCATTTGGGGACATGGTGGCATTTGGGGACATGGGGACACTGAGGCAGGCGTGGCTCCAGCTGCGCCGCTGCGACGGCGGCCGCCCGCACGGCACCTGGGGACATGGTGGTGGCACTTGGGGACACTCAGGATGGGGTTGGTGGCATTTGGGGACACTCGGGGCAGGGACGGTGGCACTTGGGGACACTGGGGATGGGGTGGTGGCACTTGGGGACACTTGGGGACACCAGGGACATGGGGACATGGTGGCACTTGGGGACACTGAGGCAGGCGTGGCTCCAGCTGCGCCGCGGCGACGGTGGCCGCCCGCACGGCACCTGGGGACACGGCGGTGGCACTTGGGGACACCAGGGGTATGGGGACATTGGGACACTTGGGGACATGGTGGCACTTGGGGACACCAGGGACATGGGGACATGGTGGCACTCTGGGACATGGTGGCACTTGGGGACACTCAGGATGGGGTTGGTGGCACTTGGGGACACTTGGGGACACTGGGGGAATGGGGACATGGTGGCACTTGGGGACATGGTGGCACATGGGGACACTGAGGCAGGCGTGGCTCCAGCTGCGCCGCGGCGACGGCGGCCGCCCGCACGGCACCTGGGGACACGGTGGTGGCACTTGGGGACACTTGGGGACACCGGGGGAATGGGGACATGGTGGCACTTGGGGACACGGTGGCACCTGGGGACATGGTGGTGGCAACTGGGGACACTTGGGGACACTGGGGGCATGGGGACATGGTGGCACTTGGGGACATGGTGGCACTTGGGGACACTTCAGACATGGGGACTTTGGGACATGGTGGCACTTGGGGACACTGGGGATGGGGTGGTGGCACTTGGGGACACTGGGGACGGGGTGGTGGCACTCACGTCACCGCCGTCGTTGTCATTTGTCACCGTCAGCTCCGCCAGGTCCCCGAGGCCGTCCAGGGCCAGCGGCTCGGCCGGGAGCCCTGGGGACAGAGGGGACAGTGGGGACAGTGGGGACACAGGGGACAGTGGGGACAGTGGGGACACTGGGGACACTGGGGACAGTGGGGACACTGGGGACACTGGGGACA